CACCGGCTCAGGGTTGACTCAGCCTTCCATCCTTCCGAGGTGGGTGAAATGAGGACCCAGATTGTTGTTGGGGACAATATGCTGACTCTGTAAACTGCTTGGAGAGGGCTGAAAGCCCTATGAAGCGGTATATAAGTCTAACTGCTATTAAAATACCCAGTGCTTGTTTTGTGCATGGTGATTATCACAATGATTTCTCTTGGGGATTACTTGTGATCAAACAAGACAGCGTGATCGCGTGAACTTTTAAAGAGGTTTTCTTAGGCTGCAGCCTATGGAAAAACAATGCCCACTACTTTGAATAAAAAGACATGTAAGATTATTTACCCACTTAATGTACAAATACAAGTTTCTTGAAAAATGTTATATTTCATCAGATCTAGTGTAACTCCCTTCCCAGTATGTTTCAAGCCTTTGAATTTCACCCCAACAAATAGCAGAAAGAAAGGAAACTACAGCGCAGCACTTTTATGGAAAAAATAACAACAGACCTTTGTCAATCCGTGTTCCACAACTTTGACAACTCTAAGATGTGGACTTCAGCTTCCAGAATTCCCTAGTCAAGAGGGCTGGCTGGGGAATTCTGGGAGTTGAAGTACACTCATGTTAAAGTTGACAAGGTTGAGAAATTCTGCTGTAAAGAATCCCCACAATACTAATAATACATTTTTTTTCTGATTATCATAAATCCTTCCCAAGTCTTTCAATTTCTTCCAAGAGGAAATCAACATCTGATTTTTTGGTTGCTGGATTGGAGAAGACCATTCGGAAAAAGTTGACATTGTCCCCCAAAGGTTGGTAGCTAACCATGGTAGTGCCTTCTTCAATCATCCTCACTTTTATTTTTGGAGCAACCTGGGTAGATAGGGAAGAAAACAATACTTAATTCCTGGGACAATGCATTGAAGAGACTAAAGAAAACGTAGTTGCAGCCATTATTTTGGAATGATGGCAGAAATATGATTAAATTGTATATTTATATCTTATTAAAATTTGGTGAACCTTATGCTTATCAATATTGACATTTTAGAGATGTCTTAATATTGATATTAACATTTTTTATATTTTAGAAATGTCTTAATATTAACATCTAAAGATTTAAACATTCTAGTGTTAATATTCTCTAGTCAATACGGTATAAATAGCACGGTATTCAAGTAATATAATGTATTATTTATGCCTTATCGTAATTCAATAAAGCAAATTAAGGAATGAAAAAACGATTCAATGGTGGGTCTTTCATTAGAAAAAGAAATCAAATAGAAACATCCTGGAATGAAATGTTGGATGACATCCATGCAGGACAGAAACATTCAGATATGTCAGTGGTTCCCAAACTTGGCAACTTTAAGACTTGTGGACTTCAACTCCCAGAATTCTCCAGCTCTGCTGGCTGGAGAATTCTGGAAGTTGAATAGGGCTACCCTTCCCCAATTGCATGATCCTACATCTGTAGCTGTCATACTCAATGGATCATTGGTAAAGAGAGTAGGAGTTGTCCTCTAATATATTTAACTTATCTGAATGTTTCAGGGATAGATAGAACGTTTCAGTTCCACAAACACTTGTTCCAACCACTTGCTTTTCAAACTTGGCAACTTTAATATGTGTAGACTTCAACTCCTAGAATTCCATACCCAGAATGGTTGGGTAGAGAATTCTGGGAATTGAAATCCACACATATTAAAGTTGCCAAGTTTGAAAAAATAAACCCTGACAGAAAATGTACACATGAGCTTTTACCTGATGGAGTCTTTTGTCTCTTTCTGGCCCTTTGGGGATATGTCGAAGACTTGGTGGGATATACCAGAAACATACATTGCTG